AGTGTCTACTTGCTAATTATATTAAACGTTTACATACTCTATAGAGGATTAAAAATACATATTTAGTGTTTGTCTAATGAGATAGGTTTCCTTATTTTTATGACTTTTGGATTTTTTAAATAAATACCTTTAGCCTAGAGTAGTGATTTCTATTTCTATTGCATGTCATGATCATTCAGTAAAAATTGATAAAAATATAGTAATTTGGTTCCAGAGAGTTTTAGTTGCTCTGTAGGTAATTCTCATGAGCACCGTGGCTTGAGAACCATTGGCTTTGATCAATTATGGAATAATAAACTATTTTTTAAAGGCAGTATATTTGTAGTAAGAAATTTTAAAATATATCAGGCAGATTGTTAAAAAATAAGCGCAGTAAAGAATATATAAAATGTCATTCACTTCCTGTCTTTAAAAGTGTTTTGTTAAGCCATTGTTAAATCTTTGATTTATACATTTTATATACATATACAATTTTTTAAACAAATAGGATCAGACAGTATGCACCATTCTTTGACTTGCTTTTACTCAGTTAATACATTCTAGACATTTAGAGCAATTCATTTCTCATAAATAATTTTCCCAAGGATTAAAAACAAAAGCACAGAATATAATTTTTGAGTGACTTGGCAACCAGGGGTAATGAGAGATACAGATTCAGAGCAGATCTATATCTAGTGTTGTTTGTAGACTGGAACAAATAACAACTCTCCTGACACTTATCCCCCTAAAAAGTAAACAATGCAAAAATCCAGGTGAAACTAGATTAAGATGAAGATTATGGACAACTTTTAATAGGGAAAAATAACCAAAGACATGCCCAGGAAGAAGGGATATTTCTTCCATTGAATTAAAGTGATTGTATGGATGAAATGCTTCAGTTTCTGTTTTGTACATTGTATTTTTAAAATTTGTATTTGGTTTAGCATTAGTGTGGTCTCCCTCTGGGTTCTTCCTTTCATTGTTGTTTAGTTGCTATGAGCTTGGATTGGGTGGAGTGGGGACGAAAAGTAAAAACTGGGCCTCTGGGTGTTCATGTTAGCTGTAGGACCTAGACAGTTTAAGAAAAGATGGTGATGTTCCAATCCTGTTCTCTTAATACTTGTTCTTCCTCTAGGGCTCTTGGGTGTTTGTTTTTGCTCTACTCCTAGGATCCTGCAATTCTCTTCACCTGAACTTACCCAGTAGATTTCCTATGTTTTCCAATAGTGAGTAGAACCTTAGACATTTATCTGGAGTAGATCAAGGTCTTTAGAGGCCCCGTTCATTGACAGGGTTGTGTTAATCAGGTAATTCAAAATAATAGTAATAACATGAAACCTAAATTAGTTGTAGATATTTTCAGTGGAATTTAAACTTTTCCATGATAAATAGTATGTGTTTTTTTTGTTTGTTTGTTTGTTTTTTTAAAGAAAAGTAAATTTGAGTTTAGGTAGTGTGTGCTCAGTCTGCTTAAGGGATAATTCTGGACTGGTCATTAAAGGACCATTTAAAATTCCATTTTAGTTGTATAATTCTTTGATACGTTGGGGTTTTATAAAACATTAAACTTAAAATTTACTTTTCTTAATTCTTAGGTAAATTTATTGTTGAGGTCCATAGCTATGTAGTTGGCAATGAACATTACTTATAATTTCAAATAATCCCTTATTCATAGTGTTAAATATAGTAAAGAAATTTTTCATTCTACTTGTATAACCAGGACAGCAAAAAAAAAAAAAAAAAATGTTTTTGGGAGGTAGATCTGATAAGCTATCAGAAGTGGTCTTAGGACACAAGGCAAATTTCTCTTGTTAGGATTAGGTGTTGCAGAGCCTTTCCTTGTGTTAGAGCTCCCTTGATGAAAATGCTCTCCCCCACATTATTACTCCCTGATACCCTTAATTAGGTTCATTTGGAAAATTACATCTTTTATAATACAAATATTTACTGAGCAAGTTAAGCCTTTTTGTCTTTAATGTATGTATTATAAGTAGAAGCCATTTGTTTGGGAGCCATAGCATGAAAACTATTTCGCAGAAAACTGAAAGAGAAAAATGTTTTAAAAGGCAAACTTTAAAAGGCAACATCTGTCTCTTAGGTCGTTGGGAAGCATGCATGGTACTTTTAACATACATTGGAAAATATGCGAGATATGAAATGAAATGAATTTGAATGATCTGAGTTCATCCTAAGGGTCAATTCTCAAGAATGTGGTATCCCCTTTCCTTTTTCTTTTAATTTAACTTTTTAATTTGAGATGACTGTAGATTCACATGCGGTTGTAAGAAATAATACAGACATAGCCCATGGACTCTCTATCCACTTTACCTAGTGAGAACACTTTGGAAAAAAACACAGTATATCAAAACTAGGATATTGACATTGATACAATCCACCAACCTGATTCAGATTTTAGCAATACTGCTTGTATGCTTGTACTAATTTGTGTGTGTGAATTTAGTTCTTTACAGTTTTATCACTTGTATATGTGTCCACCACCACAGTCAAAGAACAGTTTCATTGCTGCAAAGATCCCCAGTGTTACCCTTTTATAACCACACCTTCCTTCCTTTCTCAAGAGAATTTTTATTTGTTTTGTTTTTAAATGCCTCGTCATTTATGATCTCAAAACAATTATCTTTTAAATTTCTGTCCATACATTCACATTGTTGTGTAACAGATTTCTTCTTCATCTTGCAACACTGAAACTCTAACCATTAACTCATTTCCCGTTTAGAAAAAAAAAGTGCAGCTTGCTGCCAGCGTTAATTTAATTTTACACAAATACGCTCTTTGAGGCTGAATGAAGCAAATCTGAATGATTTTCAATGTGAAAATAAAATATAAAAACTTCTTGGAGTTATTTCTAAGTAGAACTTGTCTCTAATCCTAATATAACAAATGTATATGATGATCAGTATTTAATAATTTTTTTTCATGTAAATTTCAAAGCATGGAACAACACAAATCGGAACATCAAGGATTTGACATTTTCAGCAATCGAGAATTACTGTATTTTGTAAATGGAAATACCACTACTAAAAACAGAATGCTATAAATAGAATGTCATTTGTTTCCAAAGACTATTGATATACTAGAGTGATACAAAAAATAATAATAAAAGTGAGATATTCCTTGGTAGACTTTGGGGATAAGGTTAGGACCTTAATCCATGAGTTATTTTGGGGTAAATGCTGCAGCCGCAAGTGCCTTTGGCGAGTATTCTCGGGGTAAAAGGGAAATGGGTCAAACAACAACTCCCCATCTCCCCCTTCCCAGGCTGATGGCAGCCACCATTCTGTTTTCTGTTTCTGTGAATTTGACTTCTTTAGGGACTTCATATATGTGAAATCAAGCAGTGACTGACATCTCACTTAGCATAAAGTCATCAAGGTTCATGTAGCATGTGACAGAATTTCCTTTTTAAATCTCAGTAATATTACATTTTATGTATATACTGCATTTTTTTTTCATTCATTCATCTGTCAATGGACACTTAAATTGCTTCCACCTCTTGACTATTGTGAATGATACTGCTGTGAACATGGATGTGCAAATATCTCTTCATAATCCTGCTATCAGTTCTTTTGGATCTATACCTGGAAGTAGAATTGCTGGATCATATGGTAGTTGTATTTTTAATTTTTTGAAGAAACTCCACACTGTTTTCCATAACAGCTATACCATTTTACATTACCATCAATAGTGTATAACTATACACTAACGATATTTGAATAAGTTTTAATTCATCCACTTGTAATTCATCTGTCTTATTTTATGACCATTGTTGACTTTTCTTTTACACCTAATAGTGATTACTAGCACAAATAGCAGATGAGATATTTTGCATTAGAGAATGTTTGCATAGCAAAGATGCTTCTCAAGATGACATCTAAACATTTTAGAGTCAGCTCTTTTAGTTATAAAAGAAAGCTTACCTGAACTAGTTTAAATAAAGAGAATAATTTTATTACAAGGAAATTGAGTTTGAATCTAAAGATAGTAATGTGGCAGGCCTTAAAAATCATTGAAATGGGACTTAGTTGTCTCTTTGATGGATCTGTTTTTCTTTCATTGTCTGTCATGGCTTTCATCATGTGATTATGAAATGACTGTTCACAAATCCTGAACCCTTCAGCTTCAGCCACCCAAAGACTGAGGTACTCAGTTGGTCCCAATCCAGAATTCCCAGGGGAAGGGAATGGCTGGTGCGTCTGGGATCAATTGCCTGCCCTCATCTACCTAACTGCAAGCATGATTAGGAAGACAGAGTTAATGCAAGGACCTAACGCTCTCCTTGGGGGCAATATGGATCGACTGGGAGGCAACAGTTTGCCAGAAAGAAAGGGAATGAATACTAGAGAGACAGAATGAAAGGTGTACTCATCAACTCTCTATAAATTAGTAGTAATTGAGGCTGTATTGAAGAATAATGGAGCTTGAAAAGTTTCCAGTAAAGACTATTAAAATGACCTGAGGCAAAGAATTCTTAATAAAATAAAAAATATTTCTGATGGTTTAGTAGTGGATATAAAGTTGAGAAGAGGGGAACTGCCTGAAATTCTTAAAATCATGGAAGATAAAATGACTAATTTCTGGAATGGTTTGAAGTAAGGGGTAGATTTTTAAATTTCTTAACACTGCTATTTGTGTGGAAAATAGAAAATTGTGTATTAAACAGCAATAAATTATGTAATTTCAGAGGAGTTGTAAAAATATATTAAGGTTATTTTAGACAAATTGATTTATTGTAGCTATATGATGGAGACATTTAGAGGAGATTAGAGTGTAGCCTTAACCTTCTGACATCATGGAAGGAATTATTTTTCTATCAAGCATTAGTGATGATGATAATCATTGAAATTTATTTAGTACTACTATGTGACAGGAAGCGTGCTAGGCATTTTTATATCTATTACCTCATTTAACCTTCCCCAAATCATGGGTGCCCACAATTTGTTAAATTGAATTTTCTAAGATGTTTTTCAACAGGATTATTAACACTTTGCTTTTCCTTTCAGAGATGTGGTACTGGATCTTTCTCTGGGCTCTCTTCTCCTCTCTATTTGTCCATGGTGCTGCAGGAGTGTTGATGTTTGTGATGCTACAGAGGCATAGGCAGGGGAGAGTAATCTCTGTCATTGCAGTCAGCATCGGATTTCTGGCTTCTGTAACTGGAGCAATGATTACTAGTAAGTTGATTTTGTTTTGTTTAAGGACAGAATTTTATATACTATTACGGTTATTATAAATGTAACGAGTGTAATCTTTTATGTAGAATATTATTTTTAGCACCAATGGCACTTTACCTAGAAGGCAACGATTAGTCCATTTATGAAATAGTTTTGGTACTTCTACTATGAAGACTCACCATGAAAAGTTTTGTGGGGAATACAAAAACTCGCAAAAATTGGCAAAGGGTAAAGTAATTCATGGGAAAATTTATCTTATAGTGGATGTAGTTTCTGCTTTAATGGAGCTCACCAACTCATAAGGGAGAAAGGCACACAAATATGGTGGTGATAATTGTCATGAAAAAAGTGAAAATATGTCATCTGCCTGTGACTGTGAGGTAAAATTGCACTTCTTAGACACATACAAATTATGATATAAATCTCCCCTGGCTTACTAGAAATTAGCCCATTTAGAGGATGCTCTAGCTATTTGCAGGTTTTATGCTGTGTTGCCTCATGTGCATTTCATACAAGTCCTCAGGTTCATTCCTTCTGGCCTTCTCTTAACACTGTCAACAAGCCCCAACTCCAGCCTTGAGTTCAAAGAGTTCTGGTTTCTGCTTTGCCAGTTGAGCCAGAATTTAGATGCATCTTGTTTAGACTGGAGGTGGCCACAGCTGCTTCCTTAATGTGGTTCTGCCAGAAACTGGCTGCTTCTTTATGCTGCTGTTGATTCTGTCACTGCCACTGAATAACAGGCTTATATTACTGTTTGCTTCTAGCCTGCTTCCAAATGTCTGGGGTGGCTCACTGCTACCATTGGATCTGTTTTGAAACTCTCCAAGAAGGACTTTTTCCTTTCTAGTTCTTAGCCCCGAAGTAAGAGGAAGTCCTTTTCTTCTAAGGCCTCTCCTTTTGTGTCCCACGATCATCTTTTCCCAGAGTGATTGGCATACCTTACCTTGAGAGGAAAGCTCTTCCCATGTCTCTGGTTATGTCTTGTGGCACTGATAAGACAATCATAAAACTGTGGGAAGTAGTGAGTAGTCTGTTTTCTCACCCTTTATTTACTGTTTGGGTTTTCCATGTTATGTTAGGTTTTTGTTGTTGGCTTTTGTTGTTCCATTCAACCTATAACTTTATCATATGGTACCTCATCCATTTTGCCATGGATAAGGTTTAAAACAAGTTTTAAACTTGTTTCAGGTTTAGCTGAAGCATAGGATGTGCATAGTGAAGTGGTAGGATATTCTGTTGGAAAGATAGAATGGAGCCAAATCATAGAGAATCTTGGAAGGCCAGCTGGAAAGTTTGGACTTTTATTCTGCAGTCTGTGGAAAACAAACATATTTTTGAATGGGGTTGGCAAGGGGCAAAGCAATTCACTTGGAAAATGTATTTTATAGCTGATTATAGAATATATGTGAAGAACCAAGAGGAAACTCTGAAAGAGCAGGGACCTTGTCTGTCTTCATCATTGCTGTATCCCCAACAATAAAACACTGCCTAGAATATAATAGATACTCAATAAATGTTGGTCGATGGATGGATGTAGTAAGGGAGGAACAGTGGAGGATAGGAAGGAAGAAAGGGTAAGGAAGAAAGGAGAAAAAAGGAAAGGAAGAGGAATTAAGAAGTATTAACTAAATTGAATTTGAATTGTAGATATATACAACAATATGGATAATTTCAGACATAAATATTGAGCACAAAATTATAGAATATTTACAGTATCGATATATATAAAATTCATTTATTTAAAAAGTCAAATAATACATATTCTTACTAATATCAGCAGCTGAAGAAAAGCAAAAGAATGATAAAAACAGAATTCAGGGAGGGAATGGGATGCAATTGAGGAAGGCCTGTGGGAACTTCAAAGGAAATAGTAATGTTCTGTTCTTCCTCTGGATGATGAGTACCACTTGGGAATTTGTTATTTCATAATACATGTATATTTTCATAAATACTCTTTCATATCTGCTCACTAATATGAGTGTTTTAAAAATCATTTAATAGGCACACACAATTATTTTCTTTCAGATCTTTAAGAGTTCCACTGGGAGAGTGTTTTCTGATTGCTGCCTCTGGGTTGGGAGATGATACAATGCAGTGGGAACTTTTATAGATCTACTTTTTTTGGAGGGAAGTTGTGACTAACAAATTGGTTCCTAACTGATTATCCCCTGGAAAGAAAATGGCAATTGGTTTTAAATGTCTCCCTTGATTGTGGAAACTCTGGAGTTCATAGTGGTGTTTCTTCTTTTAAATTTCTTTTTCTCCCCTCATCATTATAGGCTACATTCGAAGGTCTTGTCTTCTGTTCCTTGAAAGATTATAAAGAAAAGTGGATTATTCAGTAGGTTTTTTTTTTTTTTTTTTGGTCTTTTTCCTCAACAGTAGGGCCCATCCAAAGTAAAATCCACTTTATCCCTGCCAGAACACCTATATACTAAATAAAGGAGTCAGCTTATTTGGAAAAGGAGATGGCAGTGAAGTAGAAAGGTTTTCAGTACTCACTCGTCTGTTCCTTGAAACTCTTGTTATTTCCTTGTCACATCTCTTGTTTCGTTTTTTTTTTCCTGTGCTTTCCATGGCTTCTGACTTCCAGTAAAATTCTAAACCTGTATAGGAGATGTCCCTAAACTGATTTCTTGGGTCCTCAAATATTTAAGTGAGCCAAAAATATTTAAGCCCTAACTCTGAAACTTCACAGAAACAAAAATAATAAATATAAATATATGTCTTTTAGTCACATAGAAAACATTTGACATTTAGTATGTATAGTTTTTCCTTTTCCACAAGCACTTGCTACCTGGATTAAGTTGCACTTATTCTCTGCTATTTTAAATTAAGAGTGTAGTGAACATTGTCATTGTATACAAGTATTGTTGTTTGAAAAATAGTATTGAAAAGTAATTCTGGCCTTTAAAATGACAGTTTCTTGGAATTGTAGGGAAGTTTACGCAAGTTGATGTAGAAATTAAGTAAGATTATTAAAATTAATTTTAATTACATAATCAACACAGTAGTTCTCCCCTTATCTATCAGATTTCCAATGGACGCCAGAAACTAAGGGTAGTACCCAACCCTATACATATTATGTTTTTTCCTATATATACATACCTTTCACCTAAAGGAGGCACTTTACAGCTACTCTTTGGCATATCTGAATTGCCAGCATCACTACTCTTGTGCTTTGAGACCATTGTTAAGTAAAATAAGGATTCCTTGAACACAAGCATCATGATACTGTGTCAGTGGGTCTGATAACCGAGCAGGCTTCAAAATGACTAATGGTTGGGGAGCATCTGCAGTGTAGAGATGCCGGATAAAGGGATTCACGTCCCAGGCAGGATGGCACAAGATTTCATCATGCTGCTCAGAAGGGCGTGCAGTTTAAAACTTATGAATTGTTTATACCTGGAATTTTCCATTTAATATTTTTAGAAGCACAGTTGACCAAGCATAACTAAAACCACAGAAAGTTAAACTGCAGATAAGGGGAACTACTATATGGAACTGTGTTCTTCATGTAAAACTTAAAACATTATGGATAAGGCAAGAGTTCCTTTTGATTAGTGCTCCCAAACTAGTGTTCTTCTCAAATGTAATCCTATTTTCATTTTGGTTGTGCATCCCCCAGATTTTTGTTTCTGCAGTACATTAGTCATACATACATATATACGTGATTACATATGTACACACACATACATATGTATTACGTGCTAGTAGAGAATATAGTTTTATTTTTCTTTTATGCCTAAATGATATGTTTTAAGTTTTTTCTTTGTTCATATAGATCTGTGCTTTTCTTTCGAAATTGTACAGGTTCCATGGTATGGATTTCAGTATAGTTTGGCCATTACTGACTAATGGACATTGGGGTTTTTGTGTTTTTATTTCTCTAGCTATTACAAATAATGCTGCATTATTATATATATGTCTGTCCATGTATATGTGTGTTTATATTCTTGGTACTAATCATCAGTTTGTTATACATGTAGCAAGTATTTTTCTAGCCTATCTCTTGTATTCAAACCATTATGGCTTTGCTCTTTTTTTTTTTTTTTTTTGGTGGCCTTAAGCTGACCTCCTTTCCTAGATTGTAAACATTATATTTTAAAGTTTAAAATTGTAGTTTTATTTTTAACATTTAGTTCTTTAATTCCTCTGAAATTTATTTTGAGTAATGGTATGAAGGACCTAAATTTACTTCTTCCAAATGACTACCAGTTGTTCTAACCCCATTTATTGAATGGTGAATCATTGATTGGAAAAACCTATATCATTTTCTACTATGACGACTACTAACCAAAATTTGGAGTACATAGTAGGACTAGACATTATTCTAAGTACTTTCCAAGTATTATCTCTTAATTTTCACACCCACCAATTTCACAGTTGATGAAGTGAAGCACCCATTTCACAGTTGGTTAAGTGATTGCCTAATATAACAGCTGAGTAGTGGAGCTTGGGTTTTAATCCAGAACCCATGCTTTTAACCTTGTATAAGCATGAGATGTTTGAACTGACAAATTTGTCATTTCTCAGGCAGCCTGAGCTAGTAATCGCTTAGATTTTCTACTTCTTGGATCATCTTTTAAAACTTAGAGCTGGAGAGATGGAGAACAAATTGTGATTTTTAAAATTGAAGGTAGTCAGGGAAATGTAGGGTAAATCTGAATAAAAACAGTATTTTCTCAGGTTTATTTTAGCATAATATCTGATAAAAAAGAAAGCATGAGATCTTCAAATTTTTTGAAGAGTGTCATCCAATTCTAAAATTTGAGGGTATGAGCAGTTATATAAGTGAAGCTTATTGGTGCCAGTAGAAGTTTTATTTAATGTTGAGATGATTATCAGTTACTTTATTATTATCTGAATTCCTTGTGCTCTTTTTTACTTGGTATAAATATGAAATGGTGGAATGGGGGATTTATGTACAGACTAACTTGGATTGAAATTCAAGCTCTTGTACTTACTATATTTCCTTAGGCTAGTATTTGAACCTCTCCAAACTTCCTTTTTTCATCTTTAAATTAGGTAATAATACTCAGGGGTGGTATGATATTTCAATAGGATAATATTAAAGTTCCTATTAAGACACATAGTGTACAGTAAATACACTATTCATTTTTAATTTTCTTAAAATACACATATGAAGGCCCTTGGCTTAGTTAATAATTTAGTTTTTTCATTTATAGCTATTATAGAGGAACATAATAATTTTTACTTAGGAGATTTTAAGCGAATTATAGAATCCTTAGATAATTTTTATGAATAGATTCCTTAAATAATTGTCAATACAGTGCCTTTGAATAATTCATTTCTGTTCTTAATTCTATATGTTTGACCATTCTAGGATATGTAGACATTTTTTTCCTAGAAAAAGTTTTAAGGCCATCTCAGGCTGTGAGGTGGAATACTATAATTTAAATGTTTCTTCCTTTATGATTTCTGAATATACTTTTAAAATCAGCCACCTGAATACCACACCACTGTGTATGCTGTATTAATAAGAAGACTTGAATCAGATGGGCTCTGAGGCTTCTTGTAGCTCTGAGAGCTTCTCACTCTCAAAAGTGCACATTATCTAAAATGTTTTTCCTAAAAAAAGAGGTCAAGTTCATCTTCCATTTTTATTAGATGCCATAATAGTAGTCTCCAAATAACCTTACAGTTTATGCTTTATTAAAAAGCTTAATAAAATGTCTAACCACTCTGTGGTACACCTGAAACTAATATAAAATAATATTGAATGTCAATTGTAATTGAAAAAAACTTTTAAAGGGAGTAAAAAGTGAAAGGGAGTAAGAGATTCAAATTTCCAGGTGTAAAACAAATAAGTAATGGAGGTACAATGTACAGCATAGGGAATATAGTCAATAATATTGTGATAGCATTATACGATGTCAGATGGTTGCTGGACTTACCATGGTGATCACTTCTTTAGGTATATAGATGTTGAATAACTCTGCCGTATACCTGAAATGAATATAGTATTGTATGTTAGTTGTATTTTAATAAAAATGTTTTTAAAAAGCTTAATAAACTATTTTACATGCTACATTATGAAATGAACTTATCCAGTATTCTGATAGTTTATATGACATTTAAGAATTTACTGGAAGAATCATTTAGAAATTACATTAAATGTAATTTCTGTATTATTATTTATAATTATCAGTGTATCGAATATTTATAAAAATGCTGTTGAATTCAGGTCAGTTTAATGCCCAGGCGAGATTACATAAAATAATGAATTACTCATTTTTTAATGAACATATTTGATATCAAGCAAGCAACATATACTATGTATATTGTGGTTGAATGGAAAATGCTGTTTTTCAATTTAGTGGGTAAATGTATGGTAAAGTATAACTTTTACCAATCATATAGAAACTGCTTAGAAAATTTATAAAATGAAATCTGTTTTCTTAAGTTACGACTATGCAGTGTATTATAAAATGAATGAACATGTTATTGTTTCTCTCCCTCGTTTCTCATCCAGGTGCAGCAGTAGCGGGCATTTACAGAGTAGCAGGGAAGAACATGGCGCCTCTGGAAGCGCTGGTATGGGGTGTTGGACAGACTGTACTGACATTAATCATCTCCTTTTCAAGGATACTCGCCACACTTTGAGGTTTCTGTGGGAATGTCTTAACTTCACATAAGGAAACAGATGTACAGATTCTCTGAAAATGGCATTGTTAACAAGCAGGCATGAAATTGTCCAAGAATTTGGAAGGAGCAGGTCAGAACATAAGGCCTTGAGCTGTGTGGAAAGATTGCCCTCTGGTGTTCAAGTGATTGCACTACCGCACTGCACCTTATGTGCCTCTGTCCCAGGCAAGGCGAATTACACTATGAAAAGCTACAAGAAAAAGCACCTTGTTTAGCTGCCAAATCAGGTTAACATTGGTGTTGAATCATTGTTTTTAACAGTATTGTGTTAAGTTACAGGGATGTTTTGAGGAATTGATAATTTGTGCCAAACTCTCTTCTTTTTTTATAAATTGATCATGTGAATATTTGCAAGTGTAGATTTAGATGAGTGCTGTGAACATGTTTGACATGAATTCAGGTAATATAGTGAGATTTTTGTTTGGTAACGCTAAATCCTGTATGAGTGCTGAATACCGAATCATTTAATATGAGATAAATTATTTGATTTTTGATGTTGAATGTTTTTGGGATTAGGGCTTTAATACGTTTAGGCATTATTGTTATTTAATTGATGTGGAAAATAATACTTAATGGAAAACTAGCTAAACTCTTAAGGACTCAAAGTAGATCTATAGGGTGCATCCTTTTCACTTCAATAACACTCTTTTAATAATTTCCCTCATACATAAATGTTCTATTGGTATGAATTCAAAAACTTTATGGGTCACACACATTGATGATAGTTTGTGAGTCATAAAAATGTAATTTGAAAATTTTCTGATAAATTTTGTTAGAAAAGAAGTCTAAAATGCATGTTGCATTCTTTGACCCTTCTAAAGAAAGTTTTTGTCATGTATCTCATGAAGAAAACATCTTTATAACTAGTATCTCAGTGGGATTATATTACCTGTTGAATATTTCTTGACTTTTGACAAAATGTAAACAATCTTTCATTCTGGAGTTTTAACTATATTTAAAGAGTGGCCTAAATTAGGCTGTGAAAACAAAAAGCCTCGTTTGTAGATAAGTAAGTCATATAGGAAGAGTAATAAACTATCTTACATTGGGCATGCAGTAACATAATTTCACTAAGTAAAAATTGGGGAATTTAGTAAATAATTTTAAAATTTGACAACACAGCTCAGTGTATCAAAACAATACTGAATATATATTTGAGTGATTCATTTTAGTTGTTCAGTTCTTGATTTATGCTGTTATTTAAGTTTTTTAGAATGTGTGACAACATTTATTAGAAATGAAAAAGTCCTTAGTATAAAATATTTTAAGAGGTTTTGGCAATATATACTTGTTTTTAGGAGTACAGGACGTAAGGGAAATAGAACCTGGTTGAACTTATCTCTTACCGAGATCTTTTTAGGACCAGGTACAATTATAACTAGAAGAGCCACCACAGAGAATATAAAGTTAAGGACAATCCAGAAAAATAATCTGTACACTCTAGCACACTGTTTTATAACCTGATTTGGTAAAAAAATTAAAAAAAAAAGTAGGTTTCTGTTCAGTCTCATTCAAATTTAAGACCTCTGTTACCCGCACCGCTTTTCCTTCACTAAAAAGCAGATTATATCAACTCAACAGTGAAGAGTGAGGAAAAGCCAATTTGGTGTGTGTAGGGTATTCTAATGCTGTGGCTTGGAAATTTGTTTTAAGGAAAAACAATTAGCAGCTATGCATTCTTAGAGATCTTTGAATTAAACCTTAAAATTGATTTTTTTTTTATTATATATAACCCTGAAATTATTTTTGTGTGTTTTTATATGCTTGATGTTTTCCCAAATTAAATTTAGGCATTAATTTTCTAAATCAGTTTGATTTCTCCTTTTTTGTTAGACTTGAATTGTGTTCTTCTTTTTGGCTATTCTGTTAATAACAGTGTTCAAGATATTATTAAGAATAATATGTTGAAGATCTACAAAATGAATATTTATTTTAACATATGGTTATGTCATGATTTAAGGAAATTATCATGATAAGGTAATATGGAATACATGATTCAGAATCCAGAATTAACCAGAAAATAGCATGGATGCATTAAGTGTATGAATGCATGGACCAAAGAGATTTAAATTTCTGTTTTTACTCTAGAATGGAAGTATAATTAGTTTGTAGAATGTCCTAATCTCATTATCAAGTTGCTTTCTGTTATGAATTGTGAATGTGTGTGTGTGTGTGTGTGTGTGTGTGTGTGTGTACTTTTAACTTTTGGGGGAATTTTTTGGTTTCTTCACTGTTTTCAGCGAAGTTATTTCCATTGAGATTTTGTACAACTGTCACTCATTCGATGTTTTGAAATACAGTTAAATAGTGTGAATTGATGAAATTATCTGAATAGCTATTTCTATGCTGAGATGTTTTTAAAAGTTGATGGTTTTCCTATAGAGACAAGAAACGTTTAATGATATATATCTACACACATATATATCATTATATACAGATATATAAAGCTGCTATATATGAATGCAGTCTAATTGGAAAGCTTTTGTTCTAGTGGAGAATTTGTTTATTTGAAGAATCTTTTAAATAGTTTTGAGGATGTTTGAGATTTTTTTTTAATTTGGAGAGATTTTTCTTGGTTTAATAGTGCTGGAAACCCTTGTTTGTGCTATGACAAAAGCCCTTATTGATATATTTGTGTTACACCTTCTTAAAATGTGTATGTGATGTAGCAGTAATTTTTTTTTTTTTGTGATAAATGCAGAAAAGACAGGGGGAATCCTCTGCAGTTAACACTTCTTCACTTTAAAAAAATGTTTAGTTAGATATTGCTGACAGTGAAATCAGTTCTCCAAAGAAAAGATTCCCCAAACTAATTATTATTTAACATACTGGTTAGAAGTCCATAGATCAGAGTTTAGTCAGGGGGCCTCATTTAAGCTACAAATAATGCTTAGAACCTTTAAATGGAGGAGGTGAAGTAATTTGTCCCACGGAATGATTCCATTGGTTGCCTAGAGCACGGAAAGTCCTAAATGGCAACTGTGTTCAATGCGTGCAGCTTATTTATTCTTCCTTTAGATCTTAATGTTTACCAAAAATATATAGTTTGTTACCCAATGTACTGTCTTAGTATTTGTAGCATATATTTCCACTACTCTATAAAAGGGTTTTGTTTATACTGTAAATGAGAAAGAAATGAGCTGCCCTGTATGTATGATATAAAGAACAGGGATAATTTGAAATCAAAGAACATTGTTGGAAAAGGTCTTCAGAGAGCTTTAATTTAGATGAGAGTGGAGCTGACATGTTACCATGCCCACAATGATAATCAACAAACCAACTAATTCAATTTTTTAAACATTTTTGATGGATCTACTGTGTACAAAGCGTTGTACCAAGTATTTCCTGTAGGAAGTACAAGAATGACTAAGATAGGATTCCTGCCCTTGAGTCCACCAAGAGCTAGCAAGATGATTTTAAATCCTAAAAAGATTGGGACAACATTTTGCTTTCTGATTCTAGTTGAGAGTTCAAGTCCTGTTTTTTTCCCACCAAGTTCTGATTTTCCCAGTTTATTCACCAAATGGAGTTTCAGTAACTGAGATAGCATTGCTGTGACATAGTAACGAGAATACTAGAATCTAAGCCAGACGCATAAATTTGAATCCGGGCACCGTCACTTGTTGACCTTTTTGTTTATGAATGGCAAAGCAGTATATGTTTGACAGTAAATGATCAATAGTCATTAGAATTTTTTAAAATTATATTTTACAATACCAATCATTATATTGATAAGTTGTTTTATAAAATTCATCTATTTTCTTCCATTTCCACGTTTCTCTCCATATATTTTAAGAGGAGAAAACTAAAATATTTCTCTTATAATCTTGTTTCCTTTACTTTTCTCCACCTCTTTTTTTTTTTTAATCAGTAGATATTTATCTAAGAGCACTTTTGGGAGTTGGTGGTGGTGGAAATGGCCAGAACAAACAGGATTAAATTACAGTTTGTGCTTACCACTGGTCAAAATAGGAAAAAGGTAGAAGTAGCCAGCATTTACTCCTTTACCTTATCCTGCTACTTCTCTTACATTCATTCAGCCAACATTCATTGAATCTCTACTACATGCAGCTCATTATCCTTGTTTAATGTTTGGAGAAGTGTCTTCTCCATATGTCCACCTCTCTTCCACACCTTGGATTTTGGTTTCACAATGTAGTGTAAATTTTTAGGGAAATAAAGCTGAGCTTCAGTGTCTACCAGGTCCTTCTTTCCATGGACCAAGGTGCTTAAGCTCTAGTTGCTGTTTGTTTGGTTGTGTTTTTTTTTTTTTTTTAACTTAAAAGAAATAATGTTATTTTAAATTTATGTACATTTTACAATTCAAGAAATAACAAGATGCTAAGAGTACTTTCTGAAATATTTTCAAAGTACTTCACTTAGCTATTACAAATTCTCTCAGAACGTCTTATTCAGAATCTCTTCGAAGAGTCATTTTTAAAATGTGAAGAATGTGGCAAGTTACTGAAGAAATTCTAATAGACCTCGATTGCAGAGAAGTTTGGCAACGCTTGGGTAAATTGCTATTTCTTTTAATAATTGCTATTTCTTTTAATAATTGGAGTGAGAATCTCAGTAGTTAAAACTAGCAATTAAACGGTCTCATAATTTCCGTTACCTCTCCTTCGTTTTACACAATATTTTCCTTTAATAATGATTTTTACATGTCAGGTTTAATAAAAAACAATTAAAATGTTATGTAAAGAGTACAGCATATAAATTTTTATTATTTCTAAAATAGTAAAAACTTGTCCTGGTTTCAAAACTAGATCTTGATATCGACTTGACTCCTCAATAGATCCTAGAGGAAATGGTCAATAATAAGACCACCTAATGAGTGCTGAGTAAAGATCTGTTCTGCTGTTTCTTCACTAGACATCGGTACTGATCTCTGTTATCCTACCTTTATTCTTGTTTTATTTCCAGCGATGTTTTAACTTTTAATTCCTCTAGGTAGAGTTGCTTATATTTTCCTAATTCTATTTTATTAGAATCTTCCTGAGTTTTTATTTTGGGAAGTTCAGATTCCAGATCTTTAATTCTGAGTTCCATTTGACTTGTTATTGAAGCATTACTATTCTCTTTTTTTTCTTAAGTTTTCTTGAGGTGCCATTTGTGCTCACTAACGGACTCACTCACTCTGAGCTCCAGTGCTGGGGCAGCAGCTTGAAAGGTGCCAGGGACACAAGGGGAGGAATGAAACTGTCTGGCTTGAGGGCGAGGGCTGGAAGGGTGGCTTTCTCCCAGACAAGTGCTGGCAGTTTTCAGTCCTTTTTATAACGTTTTGCAGGAGACTCTCCAGGGTAAAAAGGACATTGTTTGATTAAAAATGATAAAAATTTTTAAACATGTGGTAGCATTTTGTAGTAGATTTAAGTTTAAAGACAGGAAGAAACATTGGAGGGGTATCACAAAAACATACAGGCATAGTTGATGGAAGGACCCTACATTATGTGAACAGTTTCCCCCCTTCCATTAAGACTATAAACTACACTGTATGAATATGTGTACTGCATGTTTACAAAATGCTGTGTTTTTTTTTATATGTGAGACATAACTTACCACAAAGCATTTCGAAATCGTATTACATTTGTGTGTGTGTGTGGTGGTAGGTTTGCCTTTCTAACTTAAGGATCTCTGTTTAGTATAGGCAATATAATGTTTTTGAGGAGGTTGCTGAGTAAATTATCTAAAACTGTATCTGTGAATGTTTGGAGGAAGTAGTGCTTAATATATAAATTATTTTCAATAAATGTGGAGATGTACCAGTTAATACTTTCTTAAATTAGTGGAAACACCCAAATTTCTGAGTGAACTGAGCTATGAACTGTAACCATCTTTTCCCTTGAGTTTTGGGGACTCATTTTCATATTCTTTACATTTATTGCACATATGTTGAAGTTACTTATAATAGCCCTTTTTGGATTTTGAGAACTAATTTAGCATTTTCTTAAAAATCTCTCTCCCCCTTCCATTCAAATGTCATATGTTATAGTTTAAACATATGTACAGTTTGTTGATAGAGTCAGAAGTCCTAGTTTAGAAGAGAATGTTCTTAACACCTTATGGTTATGCAACTATAATCTTACTGAAAAATAAATACTATAGGCAAGTCAAGAGAGCATGAACCTCTTACATGTTTTTTTAGATTCTATACTGTACCCACATGAATCTTCCCCTCAGTGACAACATGACTGCCCCCTTTTTGGGAATGCATTTAGATATGGAACTGAAACTGGAAAGCAGTATAATATAAATATATAGGAAGAACTCTAATGCATAATTACTGTAACAGTAACACCTTTTCTCCAAAATATGTTATATATTGGTTATTTCTAAAAAGCATCACTTTTTTTTAGCGCCTTGTATAAATGAATGTTAACTTTATAGTACTACTGATGATGAAAAGTTTCCTTTGTTTTTAAAGTATTTGCACATCATCACTAAGTATCTGTGAGAAAGAACATTTTAAAATTTTTAAAGAAAGGAAAATAGAGGCATGTGTTTGAATAATAATAAAAGTAATTGACTTTCAATACTGGATGAGTTGATAGTCTAACTGTTGACACTTTCTTAGTACTTTGTGATATTGGATGCATTTACTATGGAGGAATTTTAAATTTTTGCCCTCTACACACACACGTGCGCGCGTGCGCACACACACACACACACACACACACGAGCTCTACACATTTAGATGAACAATATCAGATGCCACAGTATTTTTCATTTCAGTCATATAACTTGGTAAAATGTATATCATTCTACCATAAAGTATTAACCCCTAAATCTAGTCATCCTGGGATTAGGGGATCAACTTTATCCCAAAATTAATCTACTAAAATGTATTTATTTAAACATCAAAAACATAGTTTACCAGATAGGTATTAAAGGACTCACTTTCAAATTATGTTAACTCTCAGACCACTGATGAATCATTTAGTTACCCACAGTACAGTTTTTAAAAGCTAAGTAATGTCTTGATGCCTTGGAAGTTAAGATACTTTTGCAAAGTGAATTTAGTGTGATTCAGGATTGGTACATCTGTTATTTAGGATTCAGAGTTTAGGAATGGTGTAATTGAATTAGCTCCTCATGATTTAATAAAAATCAGATATGTTGCCATTGACAATGACAGATGACAATTTCATTACATTTTCATGATGTATTTGTCTTTTTTTTTTTCAAGTAAGTTAGAAATGGAAAAATGTAGTCAAGACAAATGTGGGATTTTAAAATTTACTTTTGTTGTAGAGATTCTAGTGTGAACAATGTTAGTTTTATATTGTAGTACAAGGGCAGACACACGATGTAACCTTTAGAAATATGTTTACCATCAGGGATTTATTTTTACTATTGAAATATTTAACGTACTGTGAAGCTTAAAAGACAGGAAGAATAAACGTTGGAGGGATAACGCACAAAAACAAAGGTATATCCGATGAAGTACCCTGCGTTATGTGAACACAATTTCCCCCTTCTGTTAAGATTATAAACTACACTGTATGAGTATGTGTACTGCATGTTTACATAATACAGTTTAATTTTGAAGGATTATTTTTTAAAAACTATGTTTATGTATAATACCTAACAAGCTGTAAATATTGTATACTATTGATTTTTAATTTTATATAAGCAATTTTATAATTTCCCAATTCATGTATAAATCTCATTGTGTATATAGCATAATTTCCTGGAGAACAAATTTTGCAGTGGATTTTAATTACTTTAATTGTAGTAAGCATCAGGTTAGTCTTAGAGATGTTGATCTTTGTTTTAAATTATTTTTACCACTCATTTTGTTTAAATGGGCAGCAATAAACATATGCAAGTTATTTTTGATTATGGAAAGTTGGTATGCAAAGACAAGATCTAGGTTCCCATTTATTGCTTCAAAAAAAGATACACAACTCACATCATCTTCTGTCTAATCACAGGACCGTTTCTGAGGTCCATGTGTGTCTCTCCTCTTTGTAACATACAGGGTGAACTCTTTACTGATACATAAACAACTGTTAAAAGTGAATCCAGCACTTAAATGTCATTACACAGAATTTATTGGATTAAAAATTTGTAATATACAGTATTTTAATAAAGTTTCTGTATTCAATTTCATGCACTTATATATAAATAAACCTGTCTTTAAAAGCTTTATGGGGTGTTTGATTCTTGATGACGTGTCTTTTCAGCTCATTCACTGTAGACTCAAATATTTTCTGACCCTTTCATCAGTTCTTCTGGACCAGTTTTGCATATCAATTTTGGAGGTAGTGCTGAAAAGGTAAACTTGGCTTGGTTTATAGTTTTACCTTGGACCAGTCCTAGGCCACATAATCATCCACTTCTAAGAGTTACTGTTTTAAAATGTATACTGTCTCTTTTAATAAAAAATGACTACCACTTATTGAGTGTTCATTACACTTCATATGTATTCTTTAGTACTTATGGTAATCCTTAAAGTTAAGTGTTTTATCCTCACTTTAGAGATGAAGAATTTGAGGTTCAGAGAAGATGAGAAACTTATTAAGGTCACATAGCCAATAGTGCTGACCTGAGCTGGGATTTTCTTACTCTCTTACTGTGTTTTTTTCTTACTGTGCAATGTTGGTTTCTACAGCATATTCTGGGAGCTCTTAACCTGTAATGAGATGAGATCTTATTATTGAAGATAGGTTGGCATTAGGGAGATTTAAAGAATTATCAACTCAGGATTTGTATTGTCATATTTATCATATTTTGAATTTTTGTTAGGGATTTCTAAGGAATGGTACAACTAAGCTTAACTATTCTCCTGCCTGAAAAAAGATTGGAACTGACAGAACCAATCAATGTATTACAACCCTGCCGGAATAAAAACTAGCCTCACCTTAAAAATTGTGCAAGCAAAATGGAAGTAAACATTTTTTTTTCACATACACTGACATATTTTATGTAATTACTAAGTTGAAATGTATTTCTTTTTAGGTGGGTGTTTCAACCATAGAATTATAAAATTTTTAAATATGTTCCCTTCCTGACCATGATTCTGAAAAAGTTCTTGAACAAAATGTAAATCTTGAGATTAAAAAGAAATGTTCTATTTTGATTCTATTATCTTTGGCTCTTCAAGTAATACTTCTATATGTCTTTGTAATAGGTAAGCTATCTTTGGGTATTTTGATACTGGGCACTGAAAGAAAGCATTGAATTTCAGATTTATTTCCACTTAGGTAGATCAAGACCAGAGGGAAATGAAATCAAGAAGAAAGATGCTCGGGTCTTAACACTGGCTTTATGGTGGAGAATGATTCCTAGTTTGACTTGTGGAAGAAGAATATCTCAGACTTACTGAATAGATACTTATCTATGTTTTGAAATAGAACCCTTGTTAATTCATAAAATAGTACCTAAAGTTTTAGAGTACCGAGCAAAAAGTAAGCGACTTAAGACATCTTTGAGGAGCAGAATTTGGGTTCACATCCAGCTTCTAATGGAATGTTGACAGAGATTGATCCCATTCCACTGTTCCTGTTTATCTGCCCTTAATTTTCCTTTGTTCATTGTTATCAGACTTCTTCCTTTTGGCCTATTTCATGAATATTCTTCAGGCTCAGACTAATTTGCAAAATTGAATTGACTCAGATGCTTTTCTTGCAAAGCAAGAGTTTCATCACTAGATGGTGTAGTGGTTCTATTTTTTTCACCCCTTTTGTCTTGGTCATTCTTAGCTAAAATCCTTAACTCAGTTTGTACTTCATTTCTGTAATGTACAGAATATGTAATGTTATATATTACATATATATTCTGATATATGTAATGTTAATGTTTTCTAATAAAATATGCATGAGGAAATGAAATTCAAGAAAAATCAAAACTTTCTACATGTTATCACTAACAAATTTAACTTCCCAAAGAATGTTAAAATACAGTGTTCAAGGTTTGTTTGTGAATTAGAAAATAACATTAATTGTATGATTTTGGTAAGTCATTAATCCGGACCTTGATTTATATGTTTTTTCTTAAATCTGTCATTCGAATTCTTAATGAATAGTGGAGTGGGTTTTATCTAGTTAAATAGTTTATACTTTAGTAACATTGTTACACATTTGCATCAACTTGTTAAGAAAAAAGGAAATAAGACAACATAACACAGCTTTGTTGCATCTTGAGACAGTTTTATTCCTGTTCTGCCATTTAGGATTTGAACTTGACTAAATTATTTTACTTCTGTGATCATCAGTTTTCTCATCAGTAAATGGGTTAATATGTCACATGTAATGAGTGCTCAGCATATCCTCTTTTTTTTTTTTTTATCTCATTGACTTCTTCCTCTGTGTTGTGTGGCCATGGGAGGATGATGTAGTTCTGGATTTTGCCATATATTTTGGTACTAAGTTTAGACACCTCTATTTCAAAGAGCCAGATTCTGTTTCCATACAGCACACAGTGCATTTTCAGAGAGGATTTATTTCAGGTTTAAACTGTCCCATTGAATTGTATGCTGCTTTGGCAGCAAAGTCTGCTGAGGGAACTTTTTACAAACATACCTCAGCGGGAAAGAGCTGGTTAGAAAACAATGGATAAATTTGCTCGACTAGCAAATTCTTTGCATTCTCTAAACCTAATATGTCCAAGATGAGGAAGCCAAAACAGCCAGCGTAAATTAAATCCCCCAAAATATGGTCGTGACTCGCCTGTCAGCTGTGTACAGTCATCGACCAGCTCAGATCCTGTTGCAAGTGGGTTTCTTGGTTTTGTTTTTTGTTCTTCAGAGACAGCCGATAGTTCAAATTCAGAGAAGTGTTGGTCTTTTCAGCTCCAGAGTTTCTGACCTTAAAAGCACAAGTCTCATTACACAGCATGGTCTATGGCAGTCATGGAAGCAAACATGCCCATGAACTCTAAGTCTTACTTCAAGGCTGAACTTAAGAGATCAGAGAAGACAGATTTTCATAACTCCTCTCTTGTTCCTTTTGCTTATTTGTGTGTGTGTGTGTGTGTGTGATTTGGTGTTGGTAGGTGACTCTTAAGGTATAATACAAGAAGACACTTGTGTTATCTTTGATGTAGAAAATAAGAGAAGGTACAGAGATGGGTGGGAGACATAGGGTTAACGGAACAACAATTTTGAAGACTTCAGACTTTTTAAAGCCCTGTGCATGTTTGTTGAGTGAAGAAGGGATCAGACCTGGGTCTTCTCTCTTGTTCTGATCCCTGATGTGCATGAGACCCCATATGCCAATTTATTCTGCAATAAATATGGAAATGGATTAGCTCCTTTTGTCTTCTCTTAAATGTAGGTTGAAACTTAATGGGACAACATCAATATAGGTCTATTATTCTTGGACTTTCCTAGAGCAGGACCAGTTTGGCATCATAAACTTGACATTTGTCATATTCATTATAGTTCTCGGTTTTAGTCCATCTTCAGATTTCTTACTTGAAACTTGTTTAACTTGGAGACTTTTTGCAAGATGAATGAAAGGCATGAAAATTTCAAATCTAAACCATAACTTCTGTTTTTTATTAGTATCTTTAGGAAATAGGTAATGTTAGTATTCAACTTTTACCCTCAAACCATTTTCACATCAATAATTTCATTTTATCCTCACAATTTGTACTTATTTGGGGAAAATGTAAAATGCCTTGAAAAAAAAAATTGAAGCATTATACCTGATTAAACACGGGTCTTTTATGAGACCTGAACAACTGTTTGGACACATGCTAATAATTAAGAATAGACCTGAAATGGCCACAGCAGCCTAGTTGCCTGGACTCAGGTAATCCCCAGAGGCCTGAAGAGCTACCCTTGGAAACTGATTGCTTCCTGGGTAACCCATGACTAACCGATTGTCCTGCCATAATGCTTTGACTTAAGAATCTTTAAGAAAGGACACAGAGAGGCCCAAATGTGTTCTCGCAAGATCTTATTGGGGAATTAACCCGTTCTCTTCTATCAGGAATATTTTACTTGTCATGGATGTCTTCAGTCATAAGAATTATATGCCAGTGTCGATAGAATGCTCATATCAATAGAAATGCCACCATATTTAATTAACGTTTTCCAAGATTAGCTTAACCAAGCAGATTATTTCTTTCATAAATAAAACAGCATGATTTCCAGAGACTCTAGTTTCATCTTAACTGGTTCAATGCACGCCACCAATCATCTGGACAGGAAAAGTTACCAAGTCAAAGAAGACATTTAACAGTTCCTGGACATTTTGAGTCCAAAGTGGTTGAAAGAAAAAAAGTGTAATTTGGGTATCGTAGAAATAGGAAGCAGTGTTTTAGCAACATCTGTAGACTAGGGCCTGCAGTATGTCAGCAGCAGGTTGGTTGGCTATGATTGAAAAAATGAATAACATGTTGATTAACTTCAGAATCAGGATCAAGTTAAAACATATCCACCCATGACATCAGAAATCTGTGGCATTAGAAACTATATTGGGGAAACTATTAAAAGCTTGAAACAAAATTTAGATTACAACAGTGCCCATAAATAAAGACCAGGTCAACATTGTGTCAACCCCTCTACAATGGAAGAGACAAAAGGCAGAGATAATAAATTGGTGAATAACCCCAAGAGAATTTTTTTTCTGACATTGAAATTTATACCCCTTCTAAATATCGCTTTATATTTTAAAGCATTTCTTTCTGAAATATATATAAACTTTGTCTTCACTCACCATACCTGTAAGGAGGCAAAAGTGGTCAAGTACCGAAGGATTTCTTTACATGCAGAGTAGAGAATCGAGATGGATCAAGTAGATAAGATTTTTTCAAAAGAATGTTTCCAAAAGTTAAAAAAATAAGCACTTGAAATAGGTTCTGTCACAAAAGCAGGGCTTTTTCC